ACTTATGTGTAAATATTTGACATACATAGTGATAATGGTATTATGATAATATAATGATAAATATATTACTGATTTTTCATAAAGATGAAGTAATATTTTCAGTGTTTTATGGTTTAGGTATTGATTGTATAATGTTGATGTATAGGTTCCACAGATTACTTCATATAATTTATTTTGTAGTATAAATAGCGTTTGTTAAAATGTAATGTCAATAATCATCTAGTTTACTCCTGATGAACGGCTGTCTTTTGATGTCATCGAATAGTTTTTCATCAATCTGTTTTGTACTTTTATAATGTACATGGAGTTAATATGACTCAAACTATGCAGTCCATCTATCCTAATTTAATTAAAACTTAATACAATTATGAGAAAATATTATTATCTTTGTTCTTTAATTGATTATTGTAACAATGAAATACATGAATAAAGTAACAAGTTCCTTGCAAAAACTGTACTACAAACGTATCCTACCTTCAATCTCTTGAAAAAGTTCCCGTAACGGCCATATGTCCCCCGTTCAGACATGACCTCTAACCATTTTCATATCCAGACTTAAATTTTGTTTTCTGCGATCCATATGTGGATGTGGAGCCTTATCCATCATGGAGTATAGAATATCATCCAGCTATTTGTACCAGTATCTTTTCAAAAATATAACATTAGTTCAATATTCTAACTTGAAGAATAAAACCTTGGCGATTGCTCGCCATTCACGAATACAACCTGCAACACTTTTGACGAAATAACCGGTCCTACTCTTCTTGGCTCTGAGATCCTGCAAAAGACCCTGTTGACATATCCAACTCTTAGAAATGTTCACTTGATGTGAGTCCTCACAATCTTAAAAACCTCAAGATATTTGCACCTCTCGATGCCAGTTGTTGTATTACCCGTAGTTTTTTAGTTTTTCCTTGTATTTATGGTGTATTCTGTTGCTTCAAGTCTATTTGTACCTTCGTGTTTGATGTTTGCATCGGTGACGGTCCTTGCAATATCGTGGTGCTTGTTGATCTAGCCTTTCTCCCTACTGCCTACTCTATGATTAATTGGGATATGGAGAATATCAGCACGTTTTTTGTGTTCATCTGATCTGAGGCTGATGTCATCTCCTATACCAATTCCAGCTTGTGTGTATTCCAAAAGACAAATATCCATTGCAAATTTTCAGACGCGTCTCAACACCTATCATCCATATTCCACATCTAAATTTTTATTTCTGTCAATTTCTAAGATTCTTGTATTGAGCTTCTCTGGCCTTCAGTCATATATTTGGAGTGCATCTGCTTTAAAATTTCATTATTCAAGCTCTTCTTTCATTTACATCTTCCTTAGACCCAAGATTGCTCGTCCTCTTCTTCTTGAGATAATTACGTTTGATGATGAATCTCCGAGTATGGATCAAAGCTTGCAATTGATTTAGATCAAGTCGCTCTGGAATGCTTGCTTGTTATTGAGGTCGTTGAATATCGCTATGTTATGTAAAACTTCTTCCTCTCTGTCCATACCTCTATTGTACTGCATTTGTTCTGAGTCGCCTTTTTTCCTCGGTTGGGCAAATCCAACATGTCTATCGTACATGCTAAAGTTGGCAATCGTAGTTCCTTCTCCCGATGCTTGACCAAGGTGGGTCGATGGTTGTGGAAAACCAAGCTTGTTTGATGCTGTTGCGGATTCTCTTGTTGCTGTTCTTGTCCTGTCATTTAGTTTAGAGCCTCTCGTATCTGGGCAGCTAGCTAGCACATCCACTCCAGTCCAATTTACAGTTCTCGCTTTCTTCAGAGTCAGCAAAGGTGGTTATATTTTAAGCTCGCTACTAAGTGACGATGTTGTTGTAATCACGTAAGACACATCCCGTAACAACAACGTGTCGAGGTTCTCGTGTTGCAAATAAATAAAGTGCAGTCTCTATTCCAGCTGCATTCTTCTCCCCATTTTTGTAAGCGGTCAGAGGTTTCTTCAATATTCTCATCGGTACTTTGAGGTGCTTTTTTGGTCCCTCTCGCTTTTTCTTCGTTACTCGGAATTGAGCAGAGGGAAAGAGATATTTGCAATGTTCACTCCGTTGTTCCACCATGGACAGAAGTCAAGAAAATATGATTTCCACAGTCCCCTCTAATCGCAATTAAGAGATGCATCTCTGAAAGTGGCTGCTAGAAGCTGTCATTGTTTTGCTTACAAATTGTAACCCTGTCATGAAAACAGCTCAGAACTCAATAAAGACAATGTCACAATCGACAAACTGTATGAGGGATGTGTGAGCATGTTCACATGTTTTGCACATACTGTGCTGTTGACATTCAACGGTGAATATGTTCCAATGATTTGCTTTTGGCTGCATTGCGGGTGACATTCCAATTAGGGTAATCGGGGACATGTTTTCCACAATTAGAGTTGCTATGTAGGCTGAGCCTACATAGCAACTCTAATTGTCTTAAGAGCTTAAGAGCCTACAAGCTGAAAAACACGAGGCATCTTCGACAGGCTAACGGTGAATATACCTTATACTCGATGACTTTACCAAAACGTTCGACACTCCACTTTATGCTTTTCGTGAACCCTGTCGCCTTGTAATAGATGCACTTTACACCGTTTATACCAAAAGTGACGTATGGTCAACAGGAGAATGCCAGTTTTGGATGGTAGAGAAAGGTCGCGGAATCTGGAGATTCACTTGTTGGAAGCGGATCTAAAAGTTGTCCTCAAGTATGTGACGGTCATGTAAAACCTTCGAGTGAAATGGACGAGAGTGTTACATACGGTGGAGGAATGCAATTACCAGAAGCAAAGAGTGAATCGACGAATTTGACCACCATTGGATGCATGAGAGGCTTACGTGAATTATCGAACTGATGATCAAGGAGAAGGTAAAATTTAGGTTGTGTATGTGCTAAGCGAGGTGCTCAAGAGATGGAATATCAGTGGAGACTGAACAGTCCAGAATTTCAGAAGCAATAATAACAACAAAAGGAGGTAACAAATGCAATAGAATGTTCAACAGTTATCAACCGTTACGGTTTACAGTGAAGTTCGTAGATCTGGAACTGAATAAATAAAGCTTAATATGCATCCTTCAATATGCAACTTTTGACATTGAGATTTTGAAAATGTAACATTAGTAGAGAGTAACTAGTTTGCGAATCTTATATATAAATTGCGTTTGGCTGAATGTTTACTTCTTTTGTCTTTTATGGATTGAATGAGGTGTATTTATAGATATTTTGAGAGAAAAAAAATTTAAAAGTAAAATTGAAATACGAAGATCTATATATTTTAATATATAGATCTTCGTAGATACAATACATAAATAACTTCATGTTTAATTACGAAATACATTAGATGACTGAAAAAACTATCATATTCATTATAACCAATTTTGGAGTACACATGCCACTGCCAAAAAATATAAAAAATATGAAAATCATCAAAGAGAACACAATACGAGTTACGTTGTACTGGGTACATAACTATAACTTATCCCATGTATGACTATAACATATTTTAACGATAGTATATGTAAAATGTCAACAAAGGTAAAGGAAAAAAACAGCAATGAACAAAACATATATTAGAGAGAGAGAGAGAGAGAGGTTTGCGTACTTCATGTGCTTTGTGTTCACAACATGAAGGTGCCATTAACCAAATCAAAACCAATGAATGACTTTTATGTGGAGTCTTTGGACATGATGCATGACAAAATGCCTCACAGTTTATCCAAAAGCTATAGTAGATAATCGCAATTTGTACTTCATTATAGACGCTACTCATAATCTAATGTTAAGAGAAAAGTGCAGTATAAATCTTGTCACCATAAAAGTAGTAAAAACTCTGATAGAGGTGAAAACAATACAGCCGACATTGTGTTCAACGAAGGTGCGCAGCACTCGACCCCACTCAGAAGACCCGACGGCATGGAGTCCGCGAAAGAAACGAAGGTCCTTTCAACAATGAGTTCGATTTCATACTGTTCATGTTTTTCATGCCGTTATTGTTCTGCGTGATCTCTACATAATCGTTTTATTGTGAGAACAGCGATTTGATATGATTTTGTGGAGTAATAGGATTTTACTGGCTGTACAATCCGGTAAGACCAGGATCGTCGTCGTCTTCTCTGTGGGTGTGCAATGCAGACCCTGGAGCCAGGCTCACTCGCAGTAAGTTCAAAAACATGGACTCGTGGCCTTTCAAACACCGCTTCGTCTCGATCTTTCACAGGTTCTAAAACCGATACATGGACTGCAACTGCAACTGCAGCACTGGAGCTCAACACCAAACAAGAGGTTGAGATAAGCACGAAGGGAGCGAGTCGGCTACAGCGACTACCAGCTCTGGGAGGGCTAATCAGAGTGGACACGGCATAACTTTTCTCCGTGAAGCGATTATGCCTGATTCGTGTCCTCTTGAACGAAGCGAAATTCTGAAAACACCCAGTCCAGATGCGATCCAACAACAGATTCTCTACATACATACGGTACTACGGGATCCGGCTGGACGCAAGCCGGTGGATAGAGATGAAAACTCCACAGTTCGGCTGGTAGGTGCTATCTGTCGGACGCAGCGATTGACTGGAGGACATTCAGCGGTCGTAAGCTCATGGGGAGCTGAGCTGAGCTGAGCTCGCGTGCAATACTATAAGAGTAGAATTTGGAGCGAATAGCGAGAGCTGCGAGGAAGATGCTAGAGGCCGGAATCTAGAGTCGAGACTAGGCTGGGCTCATAGGCGCGAGCTGTGGCCCGAGGTCGCGACGACAGGCCAGGACCCGAGGAGGAGGTCAAGCGCAGAGTTAGCAAGAGCTCCGTCGGATAGACATGGAGTCCGGGGGTCTGTACGAATATGCAGCAGATATTTCGGAGCCCCTGACAAAATATACTGCACTGGTCCGGTCTAGTGCCCGGATAATGGGCGCCATAGGCACTGCAGTACAATTGGGCGAATGATGGCGCAGAGACAAGGAATAAAAACGGGGAAACGGGAGACAGTCCACACATTCGGGAAAAGTGTTCTTGTATGAGTGCAGTTCACTGAGCAGCGCGAAAGAAGATAGTATTTGGATTTGGAGTTAGTGTTCGAGTGTATTGTGTCGAGAGATAGTAATCGCATCGAAAGTTGTACCAGGCGATCGGCGACGCCTGGTCCACCGGCGACATTGCCAGTCCCCACTCGGTGCTGTTAAATTTGGACCGCCCCCTCTGCTCTTCCTCACTCACTTGCTCCTCCGGGTTTCCAGCTGCTCAGTTCGGCGCTCGTTCTGCTCAGCGATCAGTCTCTGCCCCTCCTCAGACTGCTCCACTCTTCTTCTTCACGATGAATGATGGTGGTGCATGTTTCTGTAGCTGAAGCGGGGCTGTTGTCCGCTGTTCATGAGTGAATTCGCCTTGAGCTGAAGCCGGAGGCAAGTCGAGGACTTCGGAGACATCTGCCGCCACCTTGTCTATGCCATCATAACACTTCGCTTCCGAGATTTTGTTCCTCTGTGGCGACAATCTTGAGAACGATAGCACCGGCTTTCAAATTTCACAAGTCTGTCGAGATTATCGGGCGTACCTGCTAGTCCAAACTGATGTCAATCTTCTCGAGAGTGGCCGCTGTTGTTACCAGCGATCGTGCTAAAAAGCTTGCGTTGATCTCTGAAACAGAAGAGAAACAACGCAGATCTAGATTGGCCTTCAATTGTTGAATTTCAAGTCCGAACTCCCAACTATTATACAAAAAGCATATATCTTTTCCCGGTAAGTGCCATTCGATTCGAATATCTTACCATATGTCATCCTTTAAATTTCATGTATTTCTTTCTTTCTGTACTTAACCAAACTTTGGCGGCGACTTGTAGCTTTTGAAACAGGACCTGTTCTTCTTGCTGGTATCGGTCCATGTTGCAGATTCCAGACTCAGACTCATTTCCGTCGGTATCAATAGATTTTGATAGATTCCTTCTGACAAAGTACAATTCATGTTCTGTAACTCATTTCCGACTGTTTTCTTTCGCCCTGAATGTTTATACTTCGACTCCAGACCTTCGGCTGCGCTCGGCGAGGATTCCCCTCAGACTCCCACAAGATCAGCTTCTTCCATGGCGGACAATGAGTGGATCAATGGTTACTTAGAGGCAATCATAAACACGGGTGAAAGGCTCGATGGCTACCGCTCAGATGGTTATCGCTCAGATGGGCGAACAGCTGTTCAGCCTGTCCTCAGCGCTGCCAACTACTTCGTCAAAGAGGTCACTGGATATGATGATGCTGCACTGTACCGAACGTGGATTAAGGTAAAAGCTCTTCCTCTCGGAATTATTGTTCAGGTCCAGAAGAATGTGAGCTTGCAGCGGTGTGTGGTGAATGGTGAACTTGTTTCTAGAATCAGATTATCTCGTCTTGCCGCTGCCTTGCCTGACAAATCCGTTTGCTGGCGTAGGCTAATGCCTCAAAGTACCCACAAGAGAAGGGAAATCGCATGGAATACTTGTGCTGGAGAGTCTGGCACGTCGCTCGACAAAAGAAGAAGGTACTTCATAATCAGATTCTCAACGTGCAGGGCTCGACAATATTGCGAGATATCCACCCTTATTACCTCCCACCTGCGTGCAGGGTGCTCACTGTACCAGCAGGCCGGTACTTCTTTGTCAAAGAAATTGACGTGTCCAAATATTTTCTATGACCAGCCTCTTATCGTGTCAGCATGCCAACCAAGTACATGTACTTATGTCCAGTCAAAGAACACACTGAAACCTTGCAGTTCCAGTCTGAGACATGTTTGAGACGTGTACTCCTGTTGGCTTGGAGTGACAGAAGAGTTCAGTGTCCATGGGGAATGTCAAATGCAAAAATCTCACATCTTTCACTTCTGAAGACAAAAGTAGTACAGATGTAGTTCCCGTCATCCAGAGTTGAGCGGAATATGATTGTTTACAGTTCACAGAATATTGGAACTCAGCCATATATCTACAGTAATATGCAGCTCAATTCTAGGTCTGTATTCTGGTATGCGTGTACAGCTTGCTTGGGAGGACGCCCAACGGATGACCCGAACTCACTTCGCCAAACAACGACTTCTCAAGGAGGTGAATGAGGAATTCTCCGAAGATCTCTCCGAGGGAGAGAAACCCGACTTACCTCCCGAACCCCCAGTTTCATACGGATCAAACGGCAGCCTCTCTTCGCTGTCCCACTTAGAGAATGGTCTCGGAGGTCGGCTGTACATCGTTCTCATCAGGTAAATCCCAATAGCACTACCTCAGACTCCAAACTTATGCCTCCGATTTCCCCAGAAACCAAACCCAGAGTACAATATCGCACGGCAGCAGATTCATAGTATGGCAGTTACTACAGAATTGATTGAATCCGCTGTTTGTCGTACTCGCAGTTTGCATGGCCTCGTACGCGGAGACAATCTGGAGCTCGGACGGGACTCCGATACAGGAGGCCAGGTAATGAGCCCACGGGAAAATTCCCTCATTCTATCATCGAGTGTCAATTCCATATACATCAGTACAGTCGATACTTACCGCATGTTCGTTCGTGCGTACGTTACGACTGCTGATAACCGGTTCCTTCCAGCTCGAGAGGCGAGGTCAGTCGTCGCTAGAGTACGACGGAGTACGATTGAACTACGATCGCGCAATCTGACGAACTGTGGTGGCAGGTGAAGTACGTGGTGGAGTTCGCGCGGGCGCTGGCGATGATGCCCGAAGTGTACAGAGTGGACCTGCTGACGCGCCAGATCTGCGACCCGGAAGTGGACTCGAGCTACGGCGAGCCGACGGAGATGCTGTCGTCGGGCGCGTACGACGATGACGACGAGGTGGGTGAGAGCAGCGGAGCCTACATCGTACGCATTCCATGCGGGCCGCGCGACCAGTACATCCGCAAAGAGCTGCTGTGGCCGCACATCCAAGAGTTCGTTGACGGAGCGCTGGCGCACATCGTTCACATGACCAAGGTGCTGGGCGAGCAGCTGAACAGCGACGCGCAGAAAATCTGGCCCTACGTGGTACACGGGCACTACGCCGACGCGGGCGACGCCGCCTCGCTGCTCTCGGGCTCGCTCAACGTGCCGTTCGTCATGACCGGGCACTCGCTGGGCAGGAACAAGCTCGAGCAGCTGCTGCAGCAGAATCGGCTGTCGCGCGAGGGCATCAACAATCTGTACAAGATCCAGCGTCGCCTCGAGGCCGAGGAGTACTCGCTGGATGCGGCCGAGATGGTCATCACCAGCACCAAACAGGAGATCGTCGAGCAGTGGGGCTTGTACGACGGCTTCGACGTCACCACCGAGCGAAAGCTCCGAATGCGTATCTCTCGCGGCCTCGATACCTACGGCCGCTTCATGCCGCGCATGCATGTAAGCCGGGCTGGCCGTCGGTTCTCGTGTGCTACGTGTGTTGGACCTGTACCCGCAGCACGTGCATGATTTTCGGCTTTGAATGTGCTCGTTCGGATCCGGTTCTGCAGGAAGCTGCACTTACCATCCCTCGTTTTACGCTTTGCTGGGGATGGGCATGCATGGGATGCTCATCTGGGGTGGTGGTCAAAATGCAGGTAATCACCCCGGGCATGGATTTCAGCAGCGTCAAAGTCCCAGACTTTGGTAGTGACGGAGACGGAGAAAGTAATGCATTCGTCATGTCAGAGATGTCACCGGCATCTCCCCGTGGGGCACCACAAATAATACAAGAGGTAATTTGGTTTCGACTCGCTGATGGCGAAAGGTTTTGTGAACAACTATAGACTGCTACATTCTTGTACTGCTCTTACTGAAACTGATTAAACATCGACCGGTAGCTAGCGCTTGTGGTTTTGGCCTCGGAACTTCTCATATATATTCCTCGAACCCATTGTTTAATATAATATCTTGTTCGCAGAGGCCTATTTATTTTTTTGACGACGAGGATGAGAGTATTAACCTGCGTTGCCTATTGCAGATCATGAGGTTCTTCTCCAATCCACACAAACCAATGATACTGGCCTTGGCTCGTCCCGATCCAAAGAAGAATCTCACAACGCTCCTCACAGCCTTTGGCGAGTCCAAAAAGCTACGTGAGTTGGCCAACCTGGTAAGCAGCTCATAATGACGCTTCATTTTCTCCACCTTGTTCTCTAGTCACTGTACTTTTCCACTTCTGTGATTGTTGTTACTTACTAGCGCTGATTTTTTATGCAAAATTAGGGAACTCAAGCATATTGCCATTGTCCAGCACAATTTTGTTTATATCTACTGCCGACATTCATATATGTGCATTATAAGGGGGACTGTGAAGTCATTTGGTCCAAGTGGTCAAAGTTTTGTAGTAGTCACTAACACTTCTGCATTAACCACTGCAAATGCAGACCTTGGTGATGGGGAATCGCGATGACATCGAAAACATGTCCAGCAGCAGTGCCACAATCTTGACGCAGATTCTGAGACTTGTAGATAAATACGACTTATACGGTCACGTCGCTTACCCCAAACATCACAAGCAGACTGACGTTCCAGATATATACAGATTTGCTGCCACAACGAAGGTGAATTTTCTGTTGTTCTTGAGTTGAATTGTAAGATAGTATGGGATTTCTTTTGTTGATCATGTGGTTTTACTGATCTTTTACTGACTGGAATTCTATTCTCCAAAGGTAAAGCAATTAAAGTGCTCTTCAATAAGTACACTTCGTCACTCCTCACTTGACTAAACACTCTTTGTCGTGCACAACAGGGTGTATTCATCAACCCTGCGTTAGTGGAGCCCTTCGGTTTGACTCTGATTGAGGTATGTATGTACTTGCACTCAGCGTAAGTGTAATATTTTTTACCCATATGATTATACGAAGAGGTCACGCATCTCATGCTAGTTGTATACCACTTTCAGATGAAAATTCATATCATTACATAGTGACTCTCTTTACAATCTAGCTGTAGTATTGAATTTAGCTGGAGCAAGCAATGTTTGCTTTAGTTAATAAAGTAGCTAGCTAGTTTAAGTCAAGCATAAAGAACTTACATTCCAACTGTTTTCTCTCATCTTCAGGCTGCAGCTCACGGCCTGCCCATCGTTGCAACGAAGAATGGCGGTCCCGTTGACATAATAAAAGTGCGTAGTTAACTTCTTCTAGCTCTCTTGCCTTCTTCTGCTCCATATGTTCTCAAGATGAAATGTTTATTGCCCATTGCATTCCTTATCCTGATTCTTTACTTAATGAGAGCTTTCTGATTTCGATATTTCACAATAGCCTTCAAGGACTAACCATCGTGATGGAAATATTCCTGCAGGCTTTAAAGAATGGTGTGCTCATCGATCCCCACGACAAAGGGGATATTGCGAATGCGCTGTTAAAGCTGATGATGGACAGAAAATTCTGGAACGAATGTCGCCAGAACGGCGTGAAAAACATCCACAAGTTCTCGTGGCCTGCCCATTGTCGTGCCTACTTGTCACACATTGCCATGTGCCGGATGCGGCATCCGGAATGGCAGGACGATAATTTCGTGGATGAAACTACAGCTTTGGAATATCAGAGAGATTCTCTAACGGATCTGGATGTTAACGACTTATCTCTACGACTTTCCATGGATGGTACACGTGATATTTTCTCCTGGATGGAGAAAAAAGAAAACTACCCCACCGTGAAAAAGTCTGAGAACGGAGGCACTTACACAAACGGACATAGAAACAGACTCAATCAAGGATACTTGGAAACCGTTCTCGAAAGAGGCCTGGGGGAAGATAAACCTGCCGAAACCTTTCAGAGCAAGGTGAACATGTTCAGACGACGCAAGCATCTCGTCGTGTTAGCAATAGATTCATACGACAAATCGACCGGGAAGCCTACGAAGAAGCTACTCAACATCATCAATTACTTCCTGAAGACTTTCCGTTCAGAGATTGCATATGCATGGCGAGCCATAGGATTTGTTCTCTCGACGAGTCTGACAGGCCCTGAGACAGTGGAGTTTCTAAAATCAGGAGACATTTCTGCCCACGACTTTGACTGCCTGATTTGTGCCAGTGGAAGTGAGCTCTTCTTCCCCATCTTGCCTCCCAACAGCAGCCATGATCCTAGCGCCGTCTACCTCTGCCCAGATCCTTACTACAAAGAACACATTGAGTACCGCTGGGGTGGAGATGGTTTGAAGAAATTCATGACAACTATACCGAAGTTGGTCGCCGAGGACGAAGAGTCCGAGTCCATCGGGGCGCTTGTCGAGGATGTGCAGCGTTCAAACTCCCACAACTTCGCATACCGGACGATCAACAAGGAAATGGTACGGGTTATATGCACGTGGCTTCTCGCTGCAGAAGCGCACTGGATTTTCTGTCAACTTGCTGCAACTGAAGCCGATTTCTTTTCCTTCCACGCTAATCGCAGAATCTTTGCTACCCTGCAGGCTCCATGCGTCGACTACATTCGCAGTACTTTGCGAGACAAGGGTTACCGAAATCACGTCATGTACTGCCAGCAGGAGAGCAAGCTCCACATATTGCCGTTGCTTGCCTCCCGCTCGCAGGCCCTCCGGTAAGTTCCTTAATAAATCCCGGTCCAACAACTATCTGAATGCGAGAGACCCCCTGTATCTGCCAAACGATGCAATACTGGACTGATGCAAATATGGATGTGAACACGGATCTAAATATGGCTTTTGACTAGGTGTATGTTTATTGGTTCTCGTCACTAGTTTACCTTCAGCAGTAACTCTGTGTGCAATAGACCGCACGCTTTAATGTCACTGTTTGTCGAATACTTTTACGTGACTAAAGATCGTTGCTAACTGTTCCAGAACTTGGGATCAGATTACGCATTCAAACATTGTATATATAAAAGTCAACCATAAAAGTCTTATGTCTACTGAGGGTAAATAGTAGAACTGAAAAACTCTCTACATTTTGCAATATAAACGTTGGGAAAGGTTCCTAAGCATTTAATTACAAGCGGTCTACATAAAACAGATATTGTCTCACCAAACGATTGTACCTGCTATCCAGGAACGCTCTTTTGTCTGAAAATCGTTTTGTACTATTGTCTCCAAAACTGGACCGAGATCATAGTGTAGAGTTGCAGCATACGTAGCAGATGCTGTCAATTGAATGGACGATACGACTTGCGGCTGATTCTGATTCTTCCTCCACCTCTTCCTCTCGCTCTCGCAGGTACTTGTTCGTGCGGTACGAGTACGATGTGGCACGCATGTTTGTGGTAGTTGGAGAAACTGGAGACACCGACTACGAAGAGCTGCTGGCGGGAACTCACAAGACAATTGTGATGAAGGGGATAGTGGAAGGCGGTTCAGAAAGACTACTTAGAGGGCCAGGCAATTACACTCGAGAAGATATTGTGCCAACGGACAGCCCGAATATCGTGCAAACTGAAAGTGATGACCCCCACACGATCATGAAAGCCTTTGAAAAAGTGGGTCTCGGCGTGTACATTAAGAAGTAAATACAGAGAGAGTGGGATATAACCATACAATAAGAGGTCATCAGCCGTATCACAAAATAGTGGATGTAAATAGAATAAGGTGATTCCCCATTTTGAAAATAAGATCAGATACGAATGACGGTAACTACCTTGAGACTAAGTTGAATAATTCTCTTACTATTACGATTGGTGACGAAGATGTACCCAGTTGCTCTTTTCTCCAGTCTCCCCTCTTCCACATGCTTGAATAAACAATGCACGTCTTGGTATAAATGTGCTTTTAATGCCCGAAAAGCATGATGGTCGGAAAAGTAAGTAGTCCAGAAAGCAGCATGACGTAATTTGACTCTTTGTCAGTGATAATGATTAAACTAGACAGGAAAGAAAAGGAGATGGAACGCTAGCATGTTCTAGAAACAACCTTGATCTGAATTTCTCTCGTGGAATGATCATCTGTGGATAAAAAGGATGTCTCAATTTCACACAAAGTATCAATCCTGGCACGGAAGTCTCTTGGGAGAAAACACCGCCACTTTCTGATTATCTACTATGTAACAAATGGGTAGCCGGCGGAACTAAACAGAAAGTTTCGTGGTACGAACAGATGCCCGCCAGTGCGACCACCGAGCTCTCCTTTGTATCCATGTCTGTGTATAAACTTGTCGCTCCTCTTATATTTCACATTCACTCAAGCGCAAGAGTAGATATTGGTAGCAAATGTACTTACTGTTATGAAGAGTCTATTAATCGCGATTCTTCTCTTTCTTTGAAGGATTTAGCTGCAACAAAACATATTGCTTTGAACATTGTGAATATCCGTGTCTTTACACAGTTCGGACTGCAGGACTTGACGTGGATCTGTATTTGAAAATTATCCCCTAAAACTTTCACAGTATGTTTGCAATAACGTGTACAATATTTTTTGATATCTAGTTACAATATATCAAATGGTATTGAATGCCTGTGTATTTTTTACATGAGATTTTTCTATATTTTTTAAATATCTTCTTCTTAAATGTTAAATATTTTAAAGTCATTTTTAAAAACATACAGTTTATGCACATATCATCAGATACAATTTGAAAACATATCGTTTGATATTTAGTGTATGTCATCGTAGATTGTTCATATTTATATGATTTACTAATAAAGATATTCGATATTTGATATCCTTTGCAATCTCCATTTGCTTCATTTGGTCTTTTGACAGACTTCTCAACAAATCTTTTTATCGGAGGGAAATCTTATTACGAAATCTCATTTTTATGATAATACTCAGCTAATCATTTGTAAACAAGAAGTTTAAGATGTTGTGTGTAGTATCTGATCCATCATATCAATTCCATAGCTATGGTGAAAGGATTTAAAACTATAAAATTCATACACACTTGGAATTAAATTCAAAACACCATTCATCCAATTTTTTTAAATAAATCCTGATATTGAACCATACAAAATTCAAAACTGATAAAGAAATTGGGTTAGCTTTGTTATATCATACATATACATTAAATATTGAATTAGAACTCACAATATATAGCTATCTATAAGAGTTGATTTATTACATCAGCAATTACATATCAAACATATGTGAAACTTAATATACACAATATGTGTGTTTGATGTCTAAGCACATGATACAACTTAGCTTTAACTCTCTGGAGACCTTGCTCCGCGGCAACTCTTGGCTCTTTCAAATCAATGTCTAAACTGGCCACTTTGTGCATGGCACAAAGAAACGTCCATACTCTTCTTGCAAAGGCTCTCATCCCGGAACATGCAATGGTGTTAGCTTGTCTAGTTCCAAGATAATATAGAAAACAGTGATCTCAACAGCTCCATGGAGCGACATGTAAGTCGTTACCAGGCTAGATTCTTTTGTCATCCGCATCTTTAGTAGAAATGTGTTGGTTCCTTGTATCACCAGATTTCTGTAGCAATTTCTGTAGAAATACCAATTGCTGCGTTTATATCGAAGACTTGCACCTAAAAGAGCAAATACCAAGTGCACTGAGAGGGTATACAAAAAAGGAAAATCTACACACTTCTCTTCCCTGACCCATATAATTACGAGCATAAGGCCAAAACCTCACATTCGATGTATGGCAACATGTTCTATGCGTGAATTGGAACAACATTCATGAAATTGGTGAAAAAAAATCAGTAACTAGAATATTTCAGAGAACTGATTCTTCGTGCACACGATCATATCTTCCAAATGCCGACAATGCACTCCGCAGACATCGGCTTCACACTGGCTTGTGGACCAAACTCACTTTTCTAGCCAGAATTACGTAAGTAAAGCACTCGCGATGTGTGAAGTCCGAACAAATTTCTTGAGATAAAGTTGTCTAAATAGATAGTCTGGCTTGGTTCGAAGCAAAAAAATTGTAGTTGATGTCTAGAAATAAGAATCACAAACACAGAGGTAATAACATGCAAAAATGTCTCCGTGGCTATCAAAGCAGACATGACATGTAAGTGCCAAGGACAACAGCCTGAAACATACACCTCTTGGAAGTAAATAAAATGCAGTAGTAACTCTGGTGACTGACTGCGTGTATTTTGACTACAATGAACAGACTCATATTCCAAAAGGACAAACTGGAATTAGGCAAATGTTGATTTACACGAACAGGATGCGAAGAATGAGAAGCATGTGAAGGATCGTTGACAGAACTGGTCAATTAAATAAAGCTGCATGGGATTTAGAATCTATTGGTAGATTGCTAGCAGATTTTACGAAGGTGAATCCTGGACTAGAATTCTCTATGCCGCCAACTACACTAACTTCAACTATGTGGCAGAATGGTGTGAAATGAATACCCCCTACAGCTTGTTCGAGAAAGTACCCTGAGCTTCGCGTGGTAAGAACTACCACTCCCTCTCGTAGCTGATTATGCTACTAAGCTCAATGTGGTAAGTGCACCTACTCCCGCTTGTAGATTGAATTGGCTAGCTAAAACCTTGCCCCTTGCATGTCAAAAGCGGAAGTCCAGAATATGAAGGTTCTACTTTCGTGCTAAAAGTGGAGTGAATCTCCCCGATATTATGACGCCTTCAAATCATCCATTCCAACACTTTTCTGCACATCCAGAATGACAGAAACATTATATGCTAAAACCAATCTTCAATTCATAGAACATATAAGAACGAAACACATGCTGTCATGAAGATCGTGCGACCCATCAATATATGCCCAAATCATCGCAAGTTCAATACCCGTTAAGTTCACTATCCACAATTTTCAGGGTGGGATGGAATACCGGCGTACCAGAAAATTGTGATTCTCTTGAAGAATAGGCGCAAAGGTTGTTACAAACGTTTCGATATCCGTGTTCAGATTTCCACCACCAAGAAGCTCGTAAAACTTCTTCCTATCAGGTACAAGTTTCATAGCAACCTGCAAGTCAAGGCAAAGAAACTCAATATTTCATCCCTGGATGAAGCTCATGAACTTCAAGGTTCACTCACTTCATGAAAATTTCATTATTAGAGGCCGTGAAGGAAGCTTAGACTGTTTTAAGGAAAAATGAGTTGGATATAAATAACTACTTCCACACAAGATCACTTTCATTCACCAATTTAGGTCAATATAGAGCATTTGGCAAGAAGGTGCCATAATGCAGTCAACGAACAGTACGCTATACACTAGGAGTAGTGAATGGAATAAATGCAAATGTGGAAATGTGAAACAAATGTACATATGTAAAAATGACCTTTACAAACAAGACAATAAGAAGAAATAAAATATGCTAAGCAGAGCTGGTAACGCAAAATTGCTCCACAGAGTTTTAGCCAACATTAATTAAGCACCCTTATAAACAGAAATCTAGTTATCTATTGCGCAGACTTTCAATAGATATACGAGTATACAGTGATCTCTTAATGTTAAGAAGAGACCGTTTCCATTTCATAACTTTTGAGGATCTACACACCCAAATTAGACTCGAGTCGACTCAAAAACAGAATACACGAAAACGAATCAAGAAGTGCTGCTTGATAAGTCTTCAGCCGCCAACAGAGCACATACAAAGCCACTTCCAGGAATCAAACGAAAAAATCACCTTATGCGAAACCCCATAAATGATTTCAACATGTGACCAAGCAATCAAAAATATCAACTACGTACAATCGGACCTTGAAGATCAAGTGTGCATAGATGCACACTTGATCGGTTGCACAAACGGTTTGGTGTTATTTCCGAAGCATAACACCAAACACAAAGCTATAACCGGATTTACCAAGCGTTTCCGAGGCCTGAAATCCGTACTCATCACTTTCTGTCTGCCATAGCTTGTAAATTGTCTGACGACAGACAGAATGCAACGACTGGAAACATGGATATAGTTTAGGCACATTTGATTGCTAAAATTAAAGCATTAAGAATTTCCCTACAGAGAGGAGGTAGGGAAAAAAATTGGATGAACTTGAGAACGTTAAAGCACAAACACCGGTCAAGTAACGAGACAGCACACAGCAAATGAGAAATTACACGATGGGAATTCTTGAATGATCTTTGGCAACATTGGTAATGGTCACTTACTGTGAATGCGGCACTCGCCATCCACCCATGCCACTTCTTCAATGTTCCAGCATATGCTTCATTTGATGCTTGAGACATAGTCCAGTCTGGATGCACGAGCAAATTTCGGAATAGTTCCACGAGAAAGTCCATGGCTCTGTGTATTCATGCCAGTTTTCATTAGTGAATAGGCAAATCCGCACTCCAAATAGTGCTACACCCGAGCTGTAAAATTGCACAAGGTACTCGATGCGTTCAAAAATCAACCGATGTTACGCGAGAATGAATTCTTTGTTGCTCAGTAATCACTCTAAAAAAAGCGCTCCTCCATGAGTTGCTGCCTATGCCACTCCACACAATGTGAAAATAGAAGCAGATATCACCACACACTTTAGCAATAAATCACACCAACTTATCTGAAGGAAAAACATGAGGATCGGTTTTCTTTGTCTCCCAATCTATTTCAAACCCCACAATCACAACCATTCCTTCACCAATCCCAGGCTACATACATGCAAGATGGAAAATCAAATAAGATACATAGTGGGAAAGACTCACCTCGTCAACCACAGAAGACCGTTAGTACAACTGTTGGAGTTTTTAGCTGTCTTGTCAGCTACTTCTTTCCGGACAATATCATATAGAAGGTAGTATGATGTTGTATCAGTGGCGTACTTGGCATCCAATCGCTGCAATATCAATTGAGCTCTTCATCAAGGATCATATATATGGAGAATAGAGAACCTCTAAATGTTGACAACTCAAAAGGCTTTTGAATCAGTGGCGTACTTGTACTTGGCATCCAATCGCTGCAAGATCAATGAAGCCTTCATCATCAAGGCTCATATTTATGAACCGTATATATCTTTTAAGTGGATGCATTTTTTTAAAAAAAACCCCTAGGATACATCTTGTCGTTATAGACTAAAGAGTTAAAATGTAGCCATTAATTAGCACCAGTAGGTGCACGTTATAGCCGTATTCGACTGCATAGGAAACCAAGCAATGAAAACACCTCTCTCATAAATTCTTGATCATGGGCATGTTCGTTTTACGTTTCCGTTGTTGTAAGAAGGTAACGACCAGCTGTTGAAGAAAGAAGAGTGAAAGGTAATACCCCAATATTGCCACCAACGTCGGATTTCACGAGCGCCATGGAACTTCCAAATTTGTCTGAAAACACAGTCACGAGTCAGGAAACTCGCATGAAAATCAGAAGGTTTTTTGCCAGTAAGTTCTTTTCTTTTATAAATTGAGTAGCAAAGCTCCATAAGTACAAAAGTCTGAGATCCAAAACATGATACCGTCTCACAAGAAGAATCTGAACCGCGAGGGATGTCAGATCTAAATTGCAAGTAATGGAACAAACAATACATAACTCCTCCTTCAACAAATGACATTAGTAGTCTTCAGACTGTCTCTTAAATATAAAAGTTGTGTATTGGCCAATTTCCGAATTGAAATACATGAGCTGATTCAGATACAAAATGGCAAGACCTGATTGAAGAAAGAAGTGAGGAACCTATTATCTTTGTTGGATTGAAACACTGTTGAGGAAGGCACAGGCTTACCAACCACAGGAAGCATCGAACGGCACACATCAAGAAACGGCTCAGTCAGAAGGTTGTTATTCTCGCCGCGCACATGGGCCAGAATTCCCAGGGTGGGCCCGAAAACACTTGGTTCCTCTGCCATCTTCAGTCAACTATATGGAGATATTTTACACAGTCTCTGCAAAGGCTGTGGTGATTTGGAAACAAAGTTCCAATAAGATAGGTCTTCAAAAGATGCGCTGCTTAGGTTCCAAAAACTTGTTCTTTCTTGGTGTGTGTCCGAAAACCTCCCACAGGTCTTGAAACTGAGAGAAATTTCATCCTTAAAATTCAATCTCAGGATCCATTATCAAGGAGCCAGAATTTCTTACAGATATATTGGATACCGCGTATGTTTTGACACTGCTGAAAAATCCATTACCTAGTCGAGTTTGGAATGAAAATTCCAAATGGCAGCAGATCAATAACATTTAAGGTTAAGTTGGTGAGGTGAATTCTGCCAAACCAAAGACAGAAGGTGATATCGGAGGCAGCTCTTTCCCCGCGGGTTACAACAGAAGCAGCGCTTTGCTACACTAGCTTCCCTAGCGCAGGGTTTTTTATGTTTATGCGTAAATCTTTTGTAAAAATTGCATTTGTCAATAAAAAATTTCGATGGGGCATGGAAGTGCAAGTGACACCCTGATCAAAGCAGAGAGATAGTAATTTTGAATCCAATCAGGACCAAGATACAGATCACTGGAACATAAGCTCACAGAATCAAACTCATTTCAAGCAAAACATTCTTAAATTTCTTGTATTTACATCCTGTATCAATGCAGACAAGGGAGATTTCTTGCAGCAAAAAGCTTACCGATGACAGGCAGCACGAGGCGGCACACATCAAGAAATGGCTTGGTGAGCGTTTCTCCATTAGGTGACTTGATATGGGGCATAGCCTCCAACGCTGGAGTGAAGACCGTCTCGGCCATGCTTCCCACAAATCTGGTTAAGATTATCAAAACCTGCAGAAAGTGATCAAATCCCTCCAAAAATCAGACAAGGAACAAGGCAAGCAAGAATCACAAGAAAACTTCTTGGCTCTTGCCCTCCCACCCAGATTACGAAAATTCCCAATCCCTTCGAGAACTGAGAACTGGAAACCATTCCCAGAGCTCAGTCCAATCCCACCAATAACTCTCTTCAAATCCTCAGAAATTCTTGATCAAATGCTGGTCGATGCTTCACACTGGCACTTAGAAGTGAATAACGGGGATCGACAAATTCGTGCACCTGTGGAAGAGACCAATCGGGAGGGAAAGGTGGAGTAATGCAGAGTCGGTTGAATCGGTCGATGGGCTGGATCAATTGAATGTGCAGCCGTGCAGTCAGTCGATCAGTCAGTCATTCAGATCCGGGTTTCGTCGTCCCGGAGATTGGAGTCCTGACATCCATGAACAACAGAATTCCGGTTTCGGAGCACGTCTTTCAGCTGCCGATCCGATCCGGCAGGACGTGCGCCAGCACCCATCCAGCCTTTCTATGTAACTGTGCCTTCCAACCCAACCAGATGACGTTTCAGCACAACGCCATCCATTCTTCCTACCACGTCCCTTCCTTTTCTATACTTCTGTCTCTGATAGCTGACATGAGCATTTTACGGCAAGGTAGTACTGTAATGGAGCTCAAGTTCCTGTATCCGGGTACAATTCCAATTGTATTTTAATTATCTCTCTTTTTCAGGGGAGACACAAGGACTAGAAGGAGGTTTTAAAACACCACAAACGAGGTACAAAGCCAAAGCCCAAGCAGGCCAGCAAAAACTCAAAAGAGGAGGAGAGATCTAATCTCCCTCGTGATAAATCTTTCTGTCTCCTGGCGACTCTTCTACCTCATACAAGTATATCTTAAGTACTGGTGATACCATGTATTACAACGAGCGCCAATTTTCTTTTTTTGCACACAGCAAAGTCTAAAGCGCTCTGTATGTATGCACATGCTTTTTCTAAAGTAATGCATGCATTTATATCACAAGAACACCGTGCATCAGTATGTCTAAAATGATCAAATTGATCAAATACACTCTCTAAACGAACTGATTCCATCTGATTTTAAGTTCTCCATACATCTTTAAGATATAGCCGAATCTTAGACTTGTTATTAGGTCAGAAAACAAGAAGAAACGTGCGTGCATTATTCAAAAAGAAAACCACAAATTTAGTATTACCGTGCATTAGTGGGATGGATTTGGTGCTAAAGTTTATTTGCTGAGGTCTAAAAAGTGTAATCATTCAAGGCTATTAATCTTAAAGATTGATAGAAATAATTTGATGATAAGGAAAGAACCAACATAGATCTATAAACTTGTCATTGTGTTATTATATTAAATTTTTCAAAAGAATATATTTTGAAAACAAACTTAAACATACGAGATAATCTATTCATTGCAAGCATAATTGGATAATTGCAATTAAGTAAAAAAAGATCAAATTCAACTATTTTTTCAATTTTATTTCTCAGATATACATCATGAAATTTGCATCAGACAGAATATATTCTGATTTATGAAATCATTATTATTCCTTAAAAAAATTAATATTTTTCAATAATCTTAGAATGACATGATGATCACATGTTTGATTTGAAACAATTTTTATGAACAGAATAATATAAAATAAATATAAAAATTAATTAATTTCATCAAATCTGGTCATTCTATTTAAAAAGTCTACAATGTTTGATATTTTTAGAAAAATGCTACAACAGGTATTGACATGTATTTCAAAATATAGCATTAATTTTGATATGATGCAGATAATTTGTAAAGAATCAAAATATCACTTTATTTTGAATGTCATATACATTACTCTTATAAAATATCATTATATCAATATTTTAAATATTTATATTATTATAAAATATAAATAACATTTCAAATATATTTCATTTTAGAACAATCAAATGATAGTTGTAAGTGTGTTAAAAGTTCAATATGATTTAATTTTTTATAACAAGCTTTTATTTGAATACCTTGTTATTAAAAAATAATTTCATGTGATTGCAAGAGATATTAAATATAAAATTATTATTATTATTAAATTCATCTGATAGATGCTAGATATATTTTTTGAATGATTAAAAGAACTCAATAAGTTATTCATGGCAAGACATTAGGTGATTGTAACTTCATGCACTGATTTTAAACTTAAAATTAATATATTTTCAAATTTTGTCCTATTAATTTCAAAATTTTAAGACTTAAATTGCAAAATAGATGCTAGCTGAGAGTGTGACATAATCAAGTAAGCTCAATTATTTTACGCATTATAATTATTTTATGTGTTTGATTAGGTAGACCATTATTTTTAACCTTAAAAAATATATTCCAAAATATCTAATTTTATTAAATTTTGATGCTTGAAAAATGTAATAATATACTTTATAGTTTTTTTATCATGACTAAATTTTGATGCAATTTTAAAATTTAATTTAATTTTGATATGCCTAACTAGTTAAATATATAAAACCAATAAATATTTTCAACTATATTACAAACTTTCAAAATATCAATTATGATCAAAATATGAATATTTAAGATTTGATAAATATATTTTTGATATCAAATCTTTGTAAGTTTCAACTTGATGTTTCAATATGTTAGATCATTTTATTTTTTGTAAATATAACATTGGGTATATTGTATCTTGTGATATATTACAAAGCCAAATTCACCTAACTTTAATGTTTTTTAACTCTCTTTTTTTTCATGACATCTAGAATATTTGTTGACATGCATAAGATTTTATAATGATATATATGAATCATTTCTTTGCATCTTACATTCCACTTATATCTTAGCAATGTACGTTTTGTAACTATTGTCTATCATTGTGGTTTGATGTTATTTTGAACAAATCTCACAATTCATCAATTTTTATAGTCAATGATACAAAATTTACATCATCATTTACAAATTTTTTGCAAAGAGAAGTTTTACTCGATGTTTGTAGACATTTACAAATTTTATCACAAAATTTGATCACTCCAATCGTTAATTAGACAAGTTAATTGTATTATGTTGGATACAATCTTTATCTTCTCGCAATTTTGCATATACAAGTATGATGAACAATGTAAATTTACCTACAATTGAAACATTCTCTTTTGGTGATAATAGATCGCCATCCACTATTCCATATGTGATATCATTAATCTCATTGCTAAATAGTATTCATAATATGCATGTACCACACTTTAGAGTCGCAATTGGAGAAGTAATTGTATATCAAAAAAAATTATAGCTCTGTACCTCTCTTTTGGCCTTGGGTTGGTATTTTTCCTCCATTTCACTTTTCTTCATTTAGCTCCTTTGTCTTGAGGTATCCATTTTTCCAAATCTAATTCTTCTTAGAATACCAGTTGTTAGAATAACAAGAGTGAAATTGCTATACAAAGGGTGGCGAGTCGCTTAATTAAACGCCTTGCATAAGTACATCAATGATACTCATTACTAACTTATGATGAATAGTATCAATTACCACCTAAGAAACTGTGCTTAAGACAAACATGTCCACTAACCTAAAGTTGGCTCGCCCTAGTTCTCTCGTAGTCATAAGGTCTTACAACATCATTTCTTGAGTTAATGCTTCTTTTAATGACGGCATTGGAAACTAGTGCCGATGTTATACACCTTGCATGGATTGAAACTCCATAGCTTGTGTGTGCTGTTCAAACTTGGAGCGATTCAACAATTTAATGAGTAAATTGGCAAAGTTATTCTACGTGTGAATATAATCAAGCTTTGTCTCCCCCTCTGAACATGTTCTCTATAAAAGTGATGTTTTGCCTCAATGTGCTTGATTTTAGCATGAAAAGCTAGATTTTGAGCAAGTTTGACTGCAGCTTGATTATCGTATGATAGATGGATGTTAGCCTCGGTTGGAGTAGCAATAGTCTTGAGATCTTGATGAACATTGCTGTCAGCACAACCGATTGGAACTTGAGCAAGAGTCAGAACATTGAGCTCCTGAAACAAACGTCGGATGTAGATAGTCTCCTTAGCATCCTTGAAAAGAGCCTTATATTTTGCTTTGATACTACTGTCATAGACGATGGGTGTTGCTCGCTTGCCCAAGCAATGGTTTCTCAAACCAAATTGGAATACATAAGCACCAATTGACCGTCGAGTGTTTTTGAAACTAAGATAATCTACATCTATGAATTCTTTGAGCTGTGAAGGAGTGTCACGCTAGTACAAAATGTCATAATACTTTGGTAAAATTAAGATATTTAAGTATGTGAATTGAAGCTCGCCATTGCAATTTCTAAGAGCAATGCAAGAATCGACTGACTAGACTGACAACATATGAAAGATTGGATCAAGTAGATAAGTTTACATAAGTAGATAAGTTTACCAACCAGGTGACAGTGCTGGGATGCATCAACTGAGGGTGCATAGTTGTCAACCTCAAGAACAGGATCCATTGGTAGTGGAATTATCTCAGTCATTACATCAGATTTGTCTACATTAGACAGCAAGTCCATTGTGTACTTTTTTTGATGCAGAAATAGATCAACATTGGTCGAGCAGATAAAGTCAATTCCAAGGTAAGAATTGACCAAATCCAGGTATTTCATCTTATACTTAGCACCCAACTGAAGTTTAATTTCTACAACTCTTGAGTTACAACTATTGAAGATGAGTTGATCATCGACATAAAGCATGAGCACAGTAACGGTAGAACCTTCTTAGAAAAAATGCTTTTGAAACAAATTGGCTACGATCGCAGTCAAAGGCACAAAGGTAGATATTTATCTCGGCTAATCATTCTATGGGGACTATTTCAAGCCGTGTATGGATCTCAACATCAAAATGGAGAGGATGTTGCATATATACAACCTTCTTAAGCTTCCCATTAAGAAATGCAGTTATAACATCCATGTGGTGGATGTTCCACCCTAGAGATATTGCAAGGACGATCATAGTTTGCAAGGTAGACCAACGATTTGACGAGAGCGAAGGTTTTCTTGTCTGTTACTCCAGAATTTGAGCAACCAATTTGATTTTTAGCCATATGCCCTTAGGGTTGATCTCATGGTTGATCTCAAGAGCCCAAATGAGTCTAGAGTTCCGCAGGGTTCTCCTTGTAAGCAGTAATGGAGGAGAGGATTTTGTTGCTAATTAAAGATTGAAGAATAGCAATAGCTTCAAAGCATTGGCGGTGCAGATCGCGAGCATGCTCGGGCAGAAGATCGCGAAGCGGTTTGAGATTGAAGGTGACTTCATCTTAGTCATCTTTGGTGCGTAGTGTTGTATTAAGACACGTGGACAAGTTGAGGTAGTTGAAGTAGGTATCGTGTCGGGTTAGCTTCTTGTCATTTGAAAAGTGGGGAATTGGCTCCATGGTAGAGTTAATGATTAGCTCGTCAGAGTGGGAACACCACAGTACTAAATAGAGCTCTGTTGAATAATAAGGAGAGACAATATAAGGCATTGACAACTGCTAATGCCAAACTAATGTGAGAATCAAAGTATCTATTTTGAAACGTGCATGCTAGAGTGGATACTAAACACAAATCTTGTTGCGATGACTTTAATCTAAAGATTGAATCACACACTTTGATTGGTAGCTTTGGGGTCTCCCTGCCAGATTAGCGAGTCGGGCGGTCTAGGGGGGCAAAGTTCCCCTGGCTAGGGGTCCAGGGGGTGAAGACGCTCCCAGGCCAAACGGTACACGATGTTTGTAGTTCAGGCCTAATGGTTTGTCTATTTTGTATATTGGATCGATGTCTTGCGGCCCAATTCTGGTAGTGCAGTAGCTATGTAAACCCTAGCCATCGTTGTAATCTGTAACTTTATCTCTAATCAAAATCTGATCTCCCTCTGCCCGTGGATGTAGCCAATTTGGTGAATCACATAAATATGTGTGTTGTTCTTTGTCTTTATCGTTTTTGATTCCGTTATAACAAGTGGTATAAGAGCTCGGGTTCAAATTTCCGCCGAAAACGATGTCTAAATCCATGACGAAGATCGACAAGTTTACAAGGAGAAACAGTTTCAGTTTGTGGCGGATCAAGATGCAAGCTTTGTTGAAGCAACATGGTTTGTGGGCATCGTTGACAAAGTATAAGAATGGAATGGACGCAAACTCTGCAAAATACAAAACTATGGAGTAAGGTGCTCATTCGATGATTATGTTGTGTCTCGCCGACGATGTCATCACATAAGTTGCAGATCAGGAAACCGCCGCCGCCACCTTGTGATTGAAGTTGGAGATACTCTATATGACGAAGTCGCTGACTAGCAAGCTGATGCTAAAGCAGCGTCTTTTCAACATGCGCATGTCTAAAAGTACGCCCCTTAGAGAACATCTTGATCAATTAAATACGATTTTGCTAGATCTGCGTAATATTGATGAGAAGGTGTCGGATGAGTACGCTGCCTTGATTTTGTTGGTTTCTCTGCCTTTGTCGTATGGGAATTTTGTGCAGTCTTTCATCGTTGGAAAAGAAACGGTGTCTCTAGAAGAGATTAAGTCTTCGCTTCACAACAAGAAACTACTTCACAACGCAGTTGGTTCAGGTTCAGGTACGGACAATCAGGCTTCCGGATTAATGGCCAATAGAAGTAAGGATGGTAAGAAGGGTAAGAAAAAGAAGCATCATAAATCAGAATCTAAATTACCCAAAGACGTCTGTGCATATGGTTAGGAGAAGGGTCATTGGAAGAATGAATGTTTTGAGAGAAAGAAGCAGCAGCAAGAGCAGAAATTTGGTTCTACTGCAGTAGCAAAAGATGATACTGATTTAGAAAATGATATTGTGCTAGTTGCTAATGAACACATTCATCATTCTGATGTGTGGATTCTTGACTCTGGAGCATCGTATCATATATGTCCAACAAGGGAGTTGTTCACAACATATAGCTGCGTAGATGGAAGTACTGTCTCTATGGCAAATGGCTCTATCTGCAAGGTGATTGGGATCGGCTCAATTAGTTTCAGAACACATGACAGGAAATTTTGCACAATCAAGGAAGTCATGCATGTTTCACTTTTATAGAAGAATATGTTGTCTCTTAGTCTGTAAGACAGTAAAGGTTACAATTTCAAAGGCGAAGGTGGAGGTCTAAATGTGTGCAAAGGTTCAGAGCCGTCAAGCAGGAAACTTTGTATGTCTTACAAGGCTCTACAGTAACAGGTTCTGCAGCTGTTGCATCGGTGGTCAAGGATGTTGATTTTACCAGACTATGGCATATGAGGCTTGCTATTATGAGTGAGCATGGAATGCAAATTCTGTCCAAAGGAGATCTTTTGGGAGGTCACAAGATCAAGAGTCTAGAGTTCTATGAGCATTGTGTGTTTGGAAAACTACATCGCAGCAAGTTTCCTTAGTCAATTCACCGAACAAAGTGCACGCTAGATTACATCCATTCAGATTGATGGGGTCACTCTCGTGTTGAGTCTCTTAGCGGTTACATGTACTTTCTCTCTATCATTGATGACTACTCTAGGATGACGTGGGTATTTATGATGAGGTATAAAGGATGATTTCAATAGATTCAAGGAATGGAAGACTCTAGTTGAAAATAAGACAAGAAAGAAGGTCAAAAGGCTGCGAACAAATAATAGCACTTCTATTTATCTGAGTTCAATGAGTTCTGAGAAAATACAGAAGCATTGACTGCAAAGCACCTCACGAGGTGTGGACTGGAAGATCTACTGATTACTCAAATCTGAAAGTTTTTGGTTGCACAACTTACTATCATGTAAATGAGGGTAAGTTAGAGCCGAGAGCTAAGAAGAGAGTTTTCATGGGTTATGGTGCTGGTGTGAAAGGGTACAGAATTTGGTTTGACAATAAGATTATACTGAGTAGGAGCGAAGTCTTTAATGAGAGCTCCATGCTGAAAGCCAAAGAGAAGATCAATGATATAGCAGAGAAAGAGATTGTTGCTGAGGAGGTGGAGGTGCAATTTGTTCCACAGGAAAATCAGGCATCTATGTTGGTAAAAAACCAACTACCACAACCAGTTGTTGATGAGCAAGATACATATCAGTTTGAAACTGATATGTAGTGCAGGTTCTGATGAAGTTGTGCATCAAATTGTTGCTCTAGACCGACCAAGAAGGGTCGGAGTGAGACCTCCAGCGAGGTATAGGTTTGATGATCTAGTAGGATATGCATTGCAGGTGGATAATAATGAGCCGTCCACCTACAAAGCTGCAATATCTGGGAGTGAGTCAGCAGAGTGGCTTGCTGCAATGGGAGAAGAGATGGAATCTCTTCATAAGAATCGGATTTGAGAGCTGGTAATACAGCCTGCTCATAGAAAGGTAGTTATTTGCAAGTGGGTTTTCAAGAAGAAGGAAGTAATGTCTACTGCAGAGGGTATAAAGTACAAAGCACAAGTGATTGCAAGAGGTTTCAGTCAGAGAGAGGGAGTAGACCACAACAAGATTTACCATCAGTGGTTAGACATACCTCAATCAGGGTGTTGCTAGCAATAGTTGCACATCCAGATCTGGAACTTGAGCAACTAGATGTGAAAACAGCTTTCTTACATGAAGAGTTGGAGGATGAAATATATATATGACGCAGCCAGATAAATTCCAGGTTCAAGAAAAAAATAATCATGTCTGCAAGTTGAAGAAGTCCTTATATGGACTAAAGCAGTACCCAAGGCAGTGGTATAAGCGGTTTGACAGTTACATGAAGCAGCTTGGCTACAACAGAAGTCCATATGATTGTTGTATGTACTACAATGAGACTAAAGAGGAGAAGGAGTACATGTATGGAGTCCCATATGCTAGTGCAGTTGGGAGTGTGATGTATGCTATGGTCTGCACTTGACCAAATCTAGCATTTGCTGTTAGTGTGGTAAGTTGATACATGGTCAACCATGGAAAGGAACATTGGCAAGTTGTGAAGAGAATTTTCAGGTATCTTAGAGGTACCTCTAATATCGGTCTCTGTTATGGAAATGACACTAAGTGCTTAGTTGCTGGTTATTCAGATTCTGATTATGGTGGAGATATGGACAGTAGGAGATCTATGACTGGTTATGTGTTCACTCTGGGAGGTTCTGTGATAAGTTGGAAGGCAATTTTACAGCCTTCAATTACTTTGTCTACTACAGAGGCAGAGTATATGGCTTTGACGGAAGCTGCTAAGGAGGGAATATGGCTAAAGGGACTGGTTAATGATCTAAGCCTACATCAGTATCAGGCTTTAGTGTATTGTGACAGCTTGAGTGCAATATGCTTAACCAAGGATCCGGTCCATCATGAGAAGACAAAGCACATTGATGTCAGGTACCATTTTCTGAGTAATGAGAAGAGAATCCAGGTGAAGAAAGTAGGAACAGTAGATAACCCTGTTGATGTGTTCACCAAGCCAGTTCCTTAGAGCAAGTTCCAACACTATCTGGACTTGCTCAACATTAGAGATCATTAGTTACCCTGTGGGGCAATTCTGAGGTAGAGGGAGAAATCTGTTTATCTGGCACTATCATGGTGTATCTGAAAAGTCTACCTGGAGGATTCAAGTCAAGGAGGAGATGTGTTGTGATGACTTAAATGTGAAGACTGAATCACACACTTTCACATGTAGCACTTGGGTCTTGCTGCCAGATCAGCGAGTCGGGGGTCCAGGGAGGCAAAGTCCCCCTGGCCTAGGGGTCGAGGGGTGGAGACGCCCTCGGACCAAACGGTACACGATGTTTGTAGTTCGGGCTTAATGGTTCGTCTATTTTGTATATTGGGCCGATGTCTTGCGGCCCAATTCTGGTAGGGTAGTAGCTATGTAAATCCTAGCTGTTGTTGTAATCTATAACTCTGTCTCTAATCAAAATCTGATCTTACTTGTGTGTTGTTCTTTGTCTTTATTGTATTCTATTCCGTTATAACAAATCTGATATCATGTTGTTAGAATAATAAGAATGAAATTGTTATACACAGGATGGCGAGGTGCTTATGTAAGCGACTTTCTCTCTTGTACTCAAGGTGATATACTTGCATAAGTACATCACCTTGTACTCATAAGATCTTCCAACAATATTTTTTTCTCTTGGAGAAAAAAAACTCAAGCTAAACCCACCACATCATTTTCTATGTTGATAAACCACACCAACCACCTCATTTAGTACATCCATTCATAGCAAAGTGACACCACAATGGCTTAGTGCAAGACGAGGGAAACTATATACTATAAATCTATGGTGGAAACTCCATTGCTGAATAAATGACCTCTTCGTCACGAGGACAGAATTTGTGTGCTCTAACAAGCACTACGTACAGTTCAAGGCAAGAGGTATCAATTATCATATGCATTTGCGTTCCGTATAATGTACGCAGGCGATGTCAAAACGTTTTAGATTCAGATTGCGGAAAATGATATTACAAGTTCGAGACCATTTTATGGTCCACTACATACGTGTGTTCTGACACACAGCTAAACCTCAGAGTTGATATTCAACAACACTGAATGTAAATAGAAAATCCCGAGGTCTAAGTCAGTACGTACGCTGACCTACTTTTCTCTCAAAATCAAACTCTTTGAGCAGCTACTCCAAATGAATACAAGCTAACAGTTAATCACTGTATAAAATGGAATCTGATGTGATTTGGACAGGACTTGGGCAAAGTCTTCGATTGATCACTAAAGAATTCAATCAGAATTGAACTGCTCGGGATCCAGACAAGGAGCAGGAGCAGACCTGGTTACAAACTCAAAGATCCGGATTGATCAGATTCGAGTGGCTGAGACGGCGAAGTTTATGATTTCACCATGAGACAAACTGAGTGGACCTAGAGTAGAAAATGTTTAACTGACTTCTTCTTCAATAATCATGATTTGAGGCACTCCTGCGTGTTGTACTTGTACAGTCGCTGCACCTTGTGCAGATGGGTCCATATCCGTCTTCGGGTTGAACACACGAAGCTTAGCCGGCAGTTGGTCCAAACACATAGGGGCTCCAATATTGAGACGGTTGGGAATGTCCCAGCCGTCAGCAAATTTGTGGTCCCCTTGTGCTTGGAAATAAAATGACATCAAAATTTCGCCCCTTTGCCGATGCTTCTTGTCGTACACGGGAAACCACCTCTCCTCTGTGATAAAATGGGGTTTGCATGTGACATATAAAGCTAGGTTTCCTAACCTGCGAACAAACAAAGCAATAGACAGTATGATCACACATACATCAACGAACATGACACAAGGATTCCTTTCACACGCGATGGTTCGAGAAGCTTAGTGTGAATTGCAAATCAAGCTTCATGCTCAGCTGTTACTCGACATCTTTTGCACATTCACAAGCTGGAAATTGTAGCTTGAATGATGAAGGCCAACTTACGTGAGAAATCCGAGGGTGTTGTCTTTCCTTGTAATGCCATTCCTGTTGTAAATTTGTAGTTCCAGAAGGTGCACCCCTTTACCTTCTGGGTGAAGAATGGGAAATGCGAACTTATGGTTCCAGATAGGTTCAGATCCTGCATCTGCATTCCGAACGAGAAACGAGACAGAGAGATTAAGAAACAGCCCTCGTCTCACGTCTAGACCACAGACCGAGGTCTCGGTCTGTGGTCTCGGTCTGGAAGAGCTACATTGACTGCAGAAATTACTGTGACATGACTACCAGCCACGAGCTTGAACCGACATCGACCGGGTCAACAAACCGTCGACCCGAGTCCACTGACTGCGGGGCGCACGCCTCGCAACAATGGATCGGGACGAATCCATGGACAAATTGCGTGCTCAGCTCCAAAGACAAGTTTTAACGAGCTTAAGATCGGGGAAGGGTAGAGGCAACGCTCACCTTCATGAGTTTCGGAGTAGAGTGATGCTTGCATCCCACGAATGCCATACGAGACCTTTACATAAGGATCAGCTTTTCCTGAGATTCCAATGTGCAGGCAGGCCTTTCAGTGCGTCAGAATTCTGCTCCTCGTGTGGACCGACCGGACTCTCCTCGACGGTAAAATTGAAGGTAGTAATTCAATGCTCAATGAAGCAGCGTATGAATATCCTCGGGGCCGGAACTGATGATTTTGGGGATGGCTATTTCTGCGCAAATCTAGAAGTGGCAAGCGGGAGTAGACGGCACTTACCCATTCCATGGTACTCGTCACCTCTAATATTTCGAGCGCAGAACATCTTCACATAGAGCACGCCTCGAGGAAAAGTTTCCAAAGCGGGCTGAGATTTCTGTGAAAGCACGATCGGTGTCGTATGCGAGTACTGCAAAGCTCTCTCTACATTTTCGTCCTGTAGTTCGTCCTGGGCCGTCGAGCTGGTCCGAACTAAATGTGTCGTCGAACTTCGTGTTAACATGGTTCGATGAGGCTCGTCCCAATGACGAGAAACAATTGGCTCTTACTCTCGATGACCTCCCCGAGCGTGTGCGCGTGCGTGTGCTTCCTCAGCTCGTTCCTCGTGCTCATGCTCGGGCCCAATCGAAGAGATCAGTTCGAGTTACCGAGATCTACAAGGCCTCGACCCTTCTTCATCTGCGACAAGTGCAATGCTTGAATTCAGCAAAAGACTGCAATGGGCCGTAGCCATCAATGACCAAGATCGCGATCGTGGACCTATATGAACTCTCGTGAGGAATGTCGCCGCGACCTCCATGAGACTGATGAAAAGACCAGCACTAGCCACTGAACAGATCCACGGCGAATTCCCTCACTCTGGATGAATTTGCTCGTGGGTTCACGAAGGGAAAATGTGGAGCAATTCAAGTGTCGCGGGCGAATGGGACTTGCAAATGGTCAATCCAAACACTGCAGATGTCTAGCTTTCTAAATGGGAAGCATAATGTCGAATAACTCACCTAAATCCGGTCGGTGTTTGCAGAATCATGATCGTCAGGGGATTGATTGCACAGAGCAGAGCCCGGATGAGAGACCTACTCTGGCTATGATAGCTAGATCTAGAATTGTGCAGGGAAAGGTATGAGAGCGAAAAGAAGAAACGTCGAGTAATTCTTGAAAGCTCTCCGGCAGCTTATATGTTCGAAGGCAGAGAATTCTTACGCTCCGTCCAGAGTTCAGTGTATCTTTAGGCACGCAAAGGCGAAAATTAAGCGATATTTTCTCGGCCGCAGAAATTCTATCGCAGAGCTCAGCGAATTTTGTGATTAAAATTGCCCAATATTGCCTTCAATCGCGAATCGGGCCAGCGAAAAGCAGAGAATCGAACTGTTACACAGTTTGTTCAGATCTCGGATCTCGCTGGACCTTGTTTGATTCCGATGCCAATTGCTGCTGCTGCTTTCGCAGAACCCCCAGTTACATCTGAACCCGAACCGAGTCCAGCTGCAGATGCACTAGACCAGAATTTCGAAGACGCGAATTCTCCTGGTTTGATTCCAGAATCCATGCGCCTCATCACAGTCCACAGACCACGCGTTGACTGCGTGTGAGATCTGGTCAGGCCGACGCAAGCCTCTGCCAACAATGTGTGCACGAAAAGGCGCACACAGCGCACTACCACAGGGTCACAGATTGAGCGCTTGCCTGCGAACTTCGGTGGGGTCAACGACGACGGCCCTCAGGCCCAAAAGGGCAAGTCCATAAAGCGAGTGGCAAGCGGGTGCATGTCAAAGTGGAGTGCATGTCCGGCTCCAGCGCTCGAACGTGGACTGTGCGATGGTTTCACTGCCCGATGCTTGCGCAGCTCAGTCAGACCGACAATTAGATGCACAAAGCATTCTGGAGTTGGGAGCTCGGGCCATTGGCAGCGGAGGAGGCGCAGTTGGGATGATGCGTGAGCGAGGGACATGACGGAAAGAGCAATTGGAGGTTTCTCGGTGCTCATGACGCGTCACGAAAGTCGCTCCGGGGGCTTGATGCCGACGATGGAAATCACGGCAGGCGACGGGGCGATCGTGTCACCTTACTTGGCAAGTGCACAACACCGAATTGCTTGCTTCGGCCTGCGAAGCGTTTGGATCAAGTTTGACCCGCACGCCCAGGCAGACATTAATAGAGTTCTCCTGAAAAGGCGACGCTTTGTGCTTCCACGTATGCCTGTTGCGGGCCCTGCCGGGAATCATGCGCAGCTGCAGTGATGATCCGGTGTCGTTTGGGAAACATTTGCTTTACATTTGTGGAGTGCAGATGTGATCTGAACACCTCTTTGTTGTTCCTGCCGGGACTGCTCACGGGCTTTCGATTTATCATATTCTCTCAAATCTCCTTCTTCTGCACTATACCTGTGTATTCTCATCTTATTGTGTCTGAACGTGCGCACGACGGTCTTCGATCTCTGAAGTGTTTCGATGGGTTTAGTCATGTGGATGTTTGTGAGATGACTCGACCAAATTTTACACTCGCTTCGCTGATTTGCTGAATTTCACTTACTTGCCTCCAGTTCTCAACGAGTCCCCCGGATACTTTGCTGCGAATCCCGTGAGTGACATCATTGGGAACGACTGTGACTACCATCTGATTTCGTTATAAACAATGCCTACCGAAAGAGGCGACGTAAATCTGAAGACTTGTGTACCACCGAAGGTCGACCGCTCCCCGTCAGCTAATTGGGCTGAGGTGGTACACGAGCATGCAGGAGAGAATCTTACATGACTACAAGCTCGGATCTTGAGATATTTTACAGTACTCTTAGTATTTTCGCTGAGGTACAGTACAGCAGACGCCAGAATCAATCAGCCGCAGAAGGCATCAGCAAACTGCAGAAAATTGCTCTCCATCCCATCTCTCGCAGTTTCGAGGCGGTACGTGCGTTTGCATTACGAGTTCACGTTGCAACAAAGTGTTTGTGTGATTGCAGTCCAGAATCATTGTGGGCTTTGTGATGTCATTGAAGACTTAGTCCCATTGTTGCCCATCGAGGTTATCGAGGTTGATTGAATGAATGATGACAGTTTCTTTGCACGTTGAATGGCTTATGGGCTCGTCTCTTGAACTGGCGCCCCGAGGCTCCAGTCGTATCATACATGACGTTCATCCACTGCCCGCTCAGAACATCACGATCGTCGTCGGTCTATTTGCACAAAGGTCATGCATTGGCGTAGAGTATTTCATATAACAATTCTCCTACGTCATAAAAGTTAGAGACTCGATTATTTGCACGAGTAGACCTTATTTTTAGGCCAACAAAACGTATTTAAGGAAATGCTGTAATCACAACGGAGTTGAGAATGGAATTATTGAAACATTCCAGGTTACTATACAGCACACCCAATAACATCAAGCTTATTTTCCACGTCTCTCACGTCCAAGAGTTATCGCCATACGATCGTAGCAATATCAGTGTTTCGTACTCCACTTCTTGATGTCTTATGATGATTGAGTTATGTGCTGGTGCTGTAAGATTCACTCCTGGAATCGATACGGTGGCACGGGATAATGGAAACTTGCACGATCAAGTTTGACGGCAATAAAACTGTGCTTAGAAAATAGGAATCAACTTATGAAGTTGATTTTCCGTGCTGAAAGTTTCAATATTACGAGTGAAGATTGACTGGCCAGATTTATGACCCAAATGACCTTCTAAGGAAACGTAAAGTGAGGTTTCCCAATAATTTATCTTGAGATTGATTGCTTCGTAAGTTGGTTTAATCCGACGCACAACGTCAAGATTCCATGGATCTCACAATTTCTTATATTTCTCAAATTTCATACTACACTTCACAGTATACATGTGAAGACCTATGTTTTCCGAAAAAGATTTATCTTTAAAAACCAAGTAAACGTAATTCGTACATTCGTTTATCGAAACAAGTCACTTTTTCTTTACTTCCATCTTTACATAGGGATCTCACAAGTCGCAAGAACTTAGTGGAGTAAAGAAGAAATAGTATGTTTGCTTCTCTGCTTTGAGAGGATCAAGGTTTCAAAACTGACCAATTGGTATGGTCAGTCTGATTTAGTCTTACATCAGCTAAATCAGACAAGTTGTGTAAATGAAATCACTAGTCTAGTCTAAGTCAAGCGATGTAGGAGAGATTAATTGGTGAAATATCGACTTTGGCCACAGCCGAAATATGCGAGAGCCATGAGAGAGGGCAGGAAGATGCGAAAATTCAGTTGTAGAGCCTAAGTCATCAGTTCTAATCGTAGGTTCAGATCGGTCGTCGATTCAAATCCTACTCATTTCCTTCCATACAAAAAAAATTGGTAATAAGTACTGACCAGCTTCTTCCCCTGTAAAAGATCAAGTTCAAGATTGACTTCTTTTTGCTAATGATGTTCATAAATCCTTGAAACTGGCGCCTTGCATCATTCAAGTCTACAAATGTCTGTACATGCCTGAAACATTACCGCAAGGAACTGCTTGTGTGTCTGATGAAGTTTGCAGAGATGAATGAAAATCACAACGAATTCCAACCTATGCGCTGGATTTGGCTTGGTCAAAAGAACTGTGATGTGCAGAAAGCAACAGCCAAGCCACTCTTCCGTCACCTCCACGCGGTAATGACCGAATTCTACACATTCTGCGCACAACATCTGATTCTTACCGTCTTCGTGTTTTAAGTCAACTCTTTTCCAGCAGAACAGAAAGTATCCATCCCCGCCTGCATGTTCGATCGGATGGAATTCTGGCAGATCCAAGTCCAACCCGTCGGCTTATTTCATGTCCAGAATACAGGCTCTCACAGATCCACCTCCGTCGGATGTGTTCGTGATCTGGCATAGCATAAATCATCAAACCAGAGTACGGAGGACATCACGTCAGACATAGCCTACATGCCGTACTGGACAGTTATATTCGATATTGGAATTCTTAAGGAATTGTAAGCAGATATGGTTAGACCGGAAGCTACTGTGAATGACAGAGAATACTGCTTTACCTTCTAGAAACCAAATTCTGGACGAGTACATAACTTACCTGGATGCTTCTGCCACCAAGTTCCATGCTCATACTGAGGCTGACACTGTAAGAAACCCAGACTTCTCTCTCGCATTGATATGGATTCGGATTATCAATTTAAGCCCAGAAGAGTCCAGCTTTTGTTCCAACAACGTGCTCTTAAAGAGTAATCTTGCGGGATTGTCAACACGTCCGAAAGAGACCATGCACATTTGCAGAAGCTTATCGCGAAGACAAGAACCAAAATTTTAAAGGCTCGTCGACATACACCTGCTTCTGGTAGTATGAGATGCCAATTTGCTCGTCGTTCTCGACAATGTAATTCAGCTTCGGCGTATGAAGCTATATTGTTGTCAACAGGCAAGTTATGAGCTGGATGGCTGCTTTGCCAGCTGCACAACCCAGCAGACGGATGTCCAAGACTCAGTACGAAGTTTATGGTCCCTGGAGCCGATGGAGAGAGCCTGTACATTCTGACTTGAGGGCTAGACTTGCGAAGACTCGATGCTCACAGGAACTGATCACAAGATATCCATACCAACGTTCGAAACTCCATCACATGTATACTTCGTACAATTGTACGGCGGTACGATCTCTCGAGGAAAGACTTGTGCAAAAGGAGAGAAACATTCCGAAGATCACTGGACTCTACCGCGCTGGAAGTACACTGATCTTCCACGGGGAGCCAACAAGGTCAGACTCCAATACAGCCATTCTGAACAAATGAAACATTGTTTTGTAAGATCCGAGAACGACCGTCCGGAGGTGATCGATGAATCCATTTTCGAGGTGGAAATATAATCTGAATAGGTCCGGTTCCCCGTGAGAGGTCGAGGTCCATCCACTGGACCATTCTGAACTCATCTTGTTCTCATCTGGGTTTGTTACGGGTTTAAGAACCGATCTTCACAGGGTCGACGATCCGAATGAGAACAAAAAGGATTCGGATCGTTGTTTCTGAAATCCACTTCGTGGAAAAGTGTCAACAAAATTATCATCTTCGGAGTAAACAAGTATGCAAGTTTGACATTTCTCCACACGATGCAGTTAAATAAATTCCAGCCAACTTCCGATAGCAATGTGACACGATTCCTCTAATTCAACTTTCATTCGGATGTACATGCATGAAGCTGTTTAAGTATACGGGGCTGTCGAATGAGTTATGGAAGTAATTGGTTTGTCTATTTCGGGTACCGAAGTATCGTGGGTAGGGAAAGAGGGAGTCTATGGTCCAAATTTGTCGGAGTGATAGAGTTTGCCGACATTGACCGTCAAACAAGACTGAAGCGAACATCGGCTTGGAATATGCTTTGATCTCATGAAATTCATGTAAGAATTGCGACAAAAAGGCTGTATAAAAACATCAACCTTCCACTGAGCGTTTCAGTTCGAAGGCATGAGCCGAGTTTGAACTAACTATTTACAATTTGTCTGTACATTACCAATCCAGTGTACATAGCCAGATACTCCAGTCTAAAACATACTGGATGTTATGCCGGCTATGTACACTGGACTGTGTTTTACAGACGAGTATTCTAACTAAGCAAAATACTTCGTGTAAGTATTTTTCTATGACTAATGTCAAGCCCTAGCGACTTTATTCTTGACTACTATCAATGGAGGGTGGAAAGCCTTTCGAGCAGAAGCTTGGATTCGGCAGCCCAATCCACTGAAGACACCGAACGAACTGTGATACGCTGACGCTTTTCGCTCATATACTCGTTTTGCTGTACACTGATACGCAGCATTCTTGACTCCCATGCAGCCCCTTTCAGCACTCTCTGGTACTCTTTGTGCTCGTTGTCCTGATGTCAAGACAAACAAGAGTTGAATGAAACTGAAAGGCAATGCACTGAACTTACTCTATCGGCGATTTAATGACCGTCTTAACAGTCGATCAATGAAAAGCTTAGTGTTGCGACGAAAGAAAAACAATCACCTGACTCTTGATGTCATTCAGTCTCTCAGCCGAATGGCCTAGAATTGATTCTGCTTGCTCGTTGAATGCTGATATCCAGGCTTCCCCTGAATGGTCAGAGATCTTGGCAAGCATGATGTATCTGCAACCATCAAGGGTTCATATCACGAACTTGAGTATGCATATAGTTGTAGCTGGCGAAGAACAACATTTTCATTTACACCATCTTTAATAGTCTAGCGGCAACTAGAGGCTGACACACAATACCGCGCAGCATTCACGTAAGTGACGCAGAACAGTTCAGCAAGCGATAATTTGTGTTTAACCAAGAGTCTTAGTCTGGAGTCTTATCAACTCGAATCAAAACGGTAGACTTGCGGGACACCCCACGGTATGCTTCGTGACAGTACTAAGCAGTAGGTGGAATCGTCATACCTGCGGTTACAAGTATCATAATTCTTCGAACAGCCTTCGCACCAGTAAGATGAATCCGATTCTTGATTCACCTTGCGATTGCAAGCTGTGCAGGCTAGGTACCACATGGCTTGATCCGGCTTGATAAAGCTAATACAAGCCCTCACTGTGAAGTATGCGGGCTACAAAAACAATGTACAGAGCAAAAAATGTTAACCAATGATCTACCTTGGACGTCACCCGCTACACCTTACTAAACTTACATCACTCAAAGTACATGACGATGAACGCGAAAACCACCAAACCACTCATTACCCGGTCATATTCATATAACGATGTGGACGGCCTAAGATCGCACATAATTATTTGAACCAACGATAGAACAGGAATAAGTCGTTTACCTTTCCTTCCCCGACTTCAGGCTTAGTGACATCTGCCAGTTTAACGCGCTCGGCTGCAGCTGATGAGCTCATAGATCCTCCCATCCTCCCCGGCAGATTTGCTCCAGCGGGGGCCATGGATGCAGATTTCCCAGTCTCTTCGTACCTGCAAGTCAATGAGGCGTCGTTTCGTACGCGTGTCGAACGACGTCAGGTTTCGATACCAGTTTCATAGATGATATGAAGAACATACAGCTGAAACGAATCACAGGCCCAGGTTTACACGGACGTGCGAGGAACGATGAGATTACCACTGACGAAGGGCTTTCGCCTCTGGAATGTCGGGGTTGATCAAGACCGTGCTATGAGAGACAGTTGAAAGAGATAGGCCTGTGATTTATTTCAACGAGAAACGAGAGCATGAGATTGGCAGATTCGCTGAAGTGCGAAGGCATTCACATCGTGGTTAGAGGTCTTGCGAAACGACCAGACTGGAAGACGGTGGAGTATTTGGAAGTTTCGAAATGTCAAATTATAAACTGCCTCGAGATACATGAGAAAACAGAGGAACAATGCAAGAGACACACCTTGATAGTCACTGACACGGACTGATCTGAAAACGACAATTGGTGCCTCGTCAACCATGCCCGCTAATTTAGCTCCTTGATCACTTGAAAGGGCATTCCATAGAGTAATAACCACCGTCTTGTTGCTGAACAGACACGGCCGCCAGGTTAGGACCACGTAAGAAGCCCAGAAAGTATTTCACAAATCACCAACTTGAACGATCAAATGTGAAAAGGTACCTTTCGTCCGCGATGGTTACGTCGCGCTTAGGAATCTCCTCGTTGGTAATTTTACGCCGAACGCTTGCATTTAATCCAACAGTTTGTACAACTCCAATCACATCTGTATAAATTTGCAAGGAAATGGTCAAAGGATGAAGATGTACAAGACAGCTAGCAGGAAGCCTATTCATGTTGGTCGACGAGAGCTCCACTGGCATAAATTGGCCAATACATGAACAAAAACCGTCACGAAAGTCTTGCTGAAAAGCACTAAGGGTGGGTACCTATAAGTTCCCTTGCATTAACGTAGGGGGCCATGTCCGCGATCTTTACGACATTGACCTTCAGAAGAGGAATCACTTTGTCTTTTCCATCCTCTTCAGGTATCTCTTCGACTGTTGACTTCGTGCTTAGAGTCATCTCATAGTCATTTTTAAGATTTGAGTAACGCTTGTTTGCTGCCTTCAAAATACCATTCGAGATAAAGTATAGCTGCAAGGTAAAGCCAAGCTGTTAAGTTCATGCCACAAATGTAGTTTCATCGCTGTAAGCTAGGCAGCTGGCTATTGATTCGAAAAATTACCCTTTCAAGGACTTACGTGTGCGTGGAGAAGAGAAATCTAAGCGTAAGATGTATCATTACAACCCTGAAGCGTGGAGTGAACTCTGAAGTTCCTTAAGTTACATTGAAGCAAATTCAAGAGCTCCTTATATAGAGAGTATTGTAACAAGCGGATGTGTAACAAATACCTTCCCGAGTTGAAGCTTGTTGTGGAACTCGTCAGCGGCCTCCTTGAACATTGTGGCCTGAATTTGAGTTCCCTGAAAATACGAAATCCTCGTCAGTTTCTCACCCAGTCACGTTTGCGCGAACCCTTTGCTAAACCTCCTCATTCAAGGCCACTGGTCCCGACTAAAACAACTGGAGTGTCACAAGAAGGGCTTGACTGATCGTACTTCCTCATCAGTGAGCTCGACGTTGAAAAGATTCCCCGAACCACGAGCATTGGAGAAGGTGCGCATCGGCCCCTTGCTTGTCACTCTGACTTTAATCGTCCATAATGACTCGTACGGGTTGAGAGACACTAGAGGGTACACCCTCCGTGATATCCCTTTCGTAATGGCTGGAGCAGCACTGAACAAGGTGCCGAAATTCATTCGAAAGTAGGCAAGTCAGTACATAATGTTGAAAGGAAGCCAGGTCGAGGCGCAGAGCTGTATTCCAGTCTTAGTAACACATCCGACAAGCTGATGATACAGACTCAGCACCTGCCTGCTTTCGGACCAAGGTTGAGGGATGCAACATTAAATGAGTAATAAAGACCGCTATGAAAACAACGCAGATAACATCCGTAGAGGTCAACTTCTTCACTTACAATCCGCTCTGCTCCTTAATAATCTGCGAGGCGCTTTTGACGGTCGCCGCGAAGGCTTGACTTTTTGCTTTGGGCTTCAGCTCAATGCCCCCGTTGGTAAATGCATCTTCGGTCATCTTCAGATCACTACCAGGCTCTATCTTCACCGCTGACTTTGCGTGTCCATCACCAGTCGCCGTAACTTCAGTTGATGAAGAGAACTCAGACTCGCATTGAGACCTGACTACCTCGCAGTTAGACACGAGAAGCACCCTGGGAAATCGAGGAAGGGTGTCAGCTTGAAGTCCAGATTCCGTTACATCAGATCCATTTTTGCAAGAGTCTAACAAAGGGAGGAGATATTGAGTATCTTTGAATGCACGCAGACGGCAACGGGAGGATACGATGATACATACTTTTGATTGACAATAGTGCTGACAGTGTAATCCAGTAGCTTAACCAAGCCCATGTTCAGCAGACCACCTGACAGGATTTCGGAATTCAAGCAGCTCAGTACAGCAGGGATCTTCCTCTTGCCGTCACTAAGTTGAGACCTGAATTCCAGAACGAGGAGGAAAGTGGTTTAATAATTGGGTAAATCTTCCAGTGTTGTCTCAAACCAGCATTCGCATGTTCTCTTGCCTACTACGAAGCAGATCTGTTCACGCAAACACGGCATGTTATGTAGATGTCTTTCTAAAGGACATGGAGAATTACTTGTATCGGGAACTCCCTTGGGCCTTCAGGTCCAGCACCTGCAAGCAACAAGTCGGAAATGAGAGTTAGAAAATGTCTAAACTGAAGATGTGGCAAGCGTCTCAACTTCAGCAGCATTGTGCAGCATCTACATTTTTTGATGGCAAACTGACGGAAAGTATCAGCCTCTAAGCACCTGTAGCACAGGAGAGACAGTCCCAGGACTGGAAAGAACGAGAGATATTCCATCCGGAGTAGGAGCAGCAGAGGCGTCGTGGGCCATTGAAGAGAGTCAGAATCCGTTGGGCCTGAGTTTCTCGTCGGCGCCGTGCACACGGCGTTCAATTCTCAATCGGACCTCAAGATTTGAGACTTTTCAAAAGAAGAAATCGGGTCTGGACGAGAGCTATATCCTTTCCTTGCAGGTGAGAGATGGACGCAGAAGGTGGGCGGGAGGAGGAGCGAGTGAGGCAGCGAGGTTCGTCTGGGACGATCGACAGTGTCTGGATCGAGGGGTGAGTGAATTGAACAAGGCCCTGCAAGTTTCATTGGAGGTCGCGGAGGCGAGCGCGGGAGGGGCATCGTTTCGCGCCTTCGATTCAAGCGCAAATATTCGCGTCCATTGGGCAGCGCTCGAGCAAGAAAGCGCGGGAATTTTCTTGTCCCCGGACAAACCGGACGGAGGCTCACGGCCTGCACAGTGACTCCTCTACTCTGTCCTTCCATCCTGAATTAAGAACACGTAGTTCCGCATATCTCATCTATGTTCCAACTTGGCTGGGTTGAGTATGGATACTGCGGGAGGTGAGGGTTTTGGGGATACCTTAGGCTAACTTGTGCATCTGGGAAACATTTCATAATATTGCTAGTTTTATTTTTGCATGTTTACATTTATTTTTGCTGCTTTAGCTCAATTAACTTTGACATATTGAATCTTCGGTTTTTTGAGCTTTGATTAAGTTTTTCAACATTTAATAAATAGTATCATAAGTGCTATACAAAAGTGTGTAAATACAAATAGTCATATTCTTTTCTTTCTTCTTATAATTGTTAAAAAACCTCACATTTACCATTTCAATTTGTTAGCTTGGATCCAAAAAAAAAGATATATAATTTTTCATTTATTCATTAATGGTGTGATGACTTATATTTTCCTAATTTTATTTATAAACTTATCACGGAAGAAATTTTTTGAATGTTTACAACTTTAATAAAATCTCATTGAAAAATGAATTGAAGTTCAAAGATGATTTTTATTTATACAATTAAATCATGACTTTGGTTTTGAAATATTGATTCATTCCTTTTTTATTCATACATTAATACTTAATAATTATTCTAATTAATATGTGTTTCTTTTTAATTCCTTAAATGGGTTCATAATAAATAACTATGCATTTGAATTTTCAAATATTTAAAAATAAAATCGTTTAAAACTAATTTTGGCATGGAAGACTTAATCAAATGCTCTATGTTATACATTAGTTTTTTAACTATATATATGATGAATCATTTGATTAAGTGCCTAATAATGAAGTATATATAATGATGAGAAATGTCATCATGGTTTGAAATGTAGTCAATTTAATTATAATTCACTGAGAATTTATTTTATCATCTAACCACATTATTTCTCTGATAAATTTATTATGAACTGAATTGAAGTATAAGTTATAATCTGGTGAACATTTACAATTAAATTTTCATAATTTATTTCGATATTGGGAATAATCAATCCTCTATTATATAAATTAGATTAGTTACGTATAGCGCTTGTGAATAATAATTTATCCTGCATTTTTTTAGATTTGCATTATTTAATTTGAAAAATGCAAAAAAAGTAGTTCATGATTTGATACAGCAATCTTGCATTATGCCCAATGCCACATATGAAATGAGTAATTAATGAGAACGTAAACCAAATAAATGTAATTCCATGTTGGTCTAAAATATATGTATTATTATAAAATTTTAATTGTAATATTAGATAAATCATAAAGAAATAAATATGTTATAAATAATACTGTAAATATCAACCAAACAAAACTGACAAATTTCACCAAGTTGTGAACAGATTAAATCAATGATTGTAATGAATTAAGATCTAATATAAAAGAAAGATAACATTTCATAACGTCAGATCATCATTCATTCAACTTATCAAGCACAATTTTCACTTAAATTAGTATGAGTTGCTATCATAAATATAAATATATATATATATGTGACAGATGTGTTATAATATGAAATGAAGACATTAGTTTTTTGAAAATTCAACTTCAACCTACCATTGCTCCCAAAATGGTAGATTCAACATTTTAAAATTACGTGCATGTAAATAACTAAAATGTTTCTATCAAAATCTTTAATATGCATGAGAGCAATCTTTTATCAGATTTATTAATATGAATTACACTAAATTATATAATTTAGTGGACTTCAATGAAGTTTTTTTGACTTTATAACATGGATTTTTAAAAAAAATTGTAATCTTTCATTTACTTTTTATTCAATGACATAATTGCTATGAAAAATAAAATCAAACCTATTCATACTATGATATTTTTTAACATTATCAACAAAAAATCAAATGGAATCAACATATTTTTGAATAAAATCATAACTAAAAATAAACAATAGTTGATTTATTTGTGTTTCTATGCAAAATCTGCACAATAGCTGAATGTATCTTTATGCAACAGCCAGATTGAGTATTATTACCTTGAGTAGCCTAATAATCTTACCATAAACTTTACTTACGACAAAAGTATATACAGTATTTATATTGCTTAAAATCATTTCATTTATTGTCAATTGCAATACACTTTCATTATCCCAATGAAGATTAAAATTTGATTGTTCCAATTATATCTAAGTCTAAATGTATTTGATGGAATAGAGTCATTTGGAATTTATAATGATTTATACCCGTAATTATAATTTAAATTTACATAATAAACTTAGCAATGCACAAATATGAAGTAATATGTTCACTCATACATTGATATCTAAAATTAAACACATATCTGATTTTCATAATTCATTAGCTATGCTTGCATAAAAATCAAAACTATCACTAATGCACTATCATTACAAAATAAACGCAAATATAATTTGTGGTTTATTTATTTTGGATTTGATTAAAATAAACAACATAGAAGAAAAAATTGACATCGTTAAATAAATTATGAAATAAAATAACATAAATTATAATTTTTGAAATATACTAAAATTCATATCCTTGAATTTGACATGCATATAATCATCATATCGATATCTTCATAAAGCTAAACTTCAATGCACGTAATAAAAAACATGCTGATATTCATTTTTTATCATCAAATATTGATACTAATATTATTTATTGTTGAGATTTTATTGGAGATTAAGTTGCAAAAAGCTTAAAATATGTTGTAAAAAATATCTCGTTGTCATTATACACTATGTTAAAATTGTAAAACATATTAAAAATCTACATGGTTTGATTTAAACTTTGTTTCTTGTTTTTCAAAATTTTTGAACATCCAGAATTAATGAAATTATAAATTTATGAACATTTTCACTTTCAATATAAATATATGGATAAAATTTGAAATGAATATATAATCCATAATCGAAATATCAAAATAATGAAACCATTGATTCATCAGTTTATTGAATGCATATACCTAGATAAAATACTTTTTGTGAATCTTGCTATTTTTATGAGTTCATTTGACCTTCTATTCTGATACTTACAAGGTAGCTTCAGTCCCCTAAAAAGTTACTTAAGCATCAACTTTTTTTTTTAAAGTCAACAAAGTTTTTAAAGTTTTTTTTTAATGTGGATTTTGTCTCAACAAATTCAATACAAAATTCAATTAAATTTATTATTGGACTCAAAATCTACAGCAAATACACATACAAACTAAACAATAAAATATATAGAAATAGATAGTAAAATCCACACTTTAATCTTGTTTGAGTTCCTTACATATACTTGAAATTACGAGTTTCAAATCAAAATACAATGATTCAATGATGAAAATTCACATAATTGTTTTTAATTATCATATGATGAATTTATGAAACGTCCGATAAGAAATTGAATGATGACTACAAATTTATCTTTCTTGGTTGATTTTACTAACTACATCCCATTAAACTTTATCACAAGTATTGTTTTTTATTATATAAAGATCATCAAATTCAATATGATGATAATTGCTATCATAACTCATGATATTCATAAAAAAATGATGTATGTTTTTCAATCATCAAACGTATTATTATATATCAACTGTGAAAAAACACAATAACAATCAACCAATGAAGAGAAACAAACAAATGTTAATTAAGATCAATATATATATATATATATCATATGCTAAAAATATGACAAGAAAGTCATGTTTAAAAATATTTTTTTATGAGAAATAAAATAAAATTCCTTGAAAATATATTTCAAAAATAAAAAGTAAACTGGAAATTGATCTATTTGATGGTAATATATTTTATGATAACAATAATTTACACTTTGCATTTCAATTTATTAAAAAAAGAAGATGAATTATATGAACTTCTGCATGCGTACAACATATGTGTAATTTCTTTGTTGCTCGGTTTTTATTTCATACCAAACTATGAGGTTTTGATACAAAAATATGATCTATGTTGGATTGAAAGGAGTAAGTGTACTAAGATTTAAATGTTTGTTGATCTTCTGAATACATTTACAACTGCAAAAAAAAATTCATGTCATATGAAAGATCTTGATATGTTAGACGTATATTATCATCAATGGAACAACAAAATATTCATGGTGTATTTCAAATGAGGGTTGGAAAAAAAATGTTGATTGAAAAAATATAAATTGATTTATATGTGATAGAATGCTACATTATATGTAACAAATCACAAATATAGATTTCATGACAAAAACATTACTTGTGGAATTCAATACTAATTCAAGTATCACAAAAATGATTCACTATAATTTAATATCTAATAGTTTTGAATTAAAAAACAACAATATCAGATTAACTTTAACATTAAATGGCTGTAAGTGTTCAAACTCGTATTTTTAATGAAATATTTGAATATGCACACTTATGTAATCGCATTTGAAGGACGTTTTTTATGTTTTCACATTATGATAAATTATGTTTTGAATTTTTATTTATTATTATCTAACTTTTATGCATATTTCTTTTCTTTATTATAACTTTGAAATTCTAATCATTTCTGAATATTAAAGAGTTCAAATTGAAGCTTAAATTAGCAAGAAAGTATGATGTATGTCATATGACATAAATTTTTAATCATCTATCAATAAT